AGGGAATTATGTGTTTAGCAGAGTGATGGTGTTCGGGAAAAAACTGTCCTTGTGTCTAGTTGTTCTGGTGTGCAGGGCTCTATAGCATCATTTTGAAGGTAGGAGTTGAAACAGTTTGTGTCCAGTATGCGAGGGGTCTGTAGATATTTTCACAGCCCCCTTTTTGACTCATGCAGTAGACAGGTCCTCCATGGAAGGCAGGTTGGTAGTAATTGTTTTTTTCTGCAGTTCTAATTATCCTCTGAAGTCCGTGTCTGTCTTGTTGGGTTGCAGAGCTAAAACTGACAATTATAGAGATATATAGATGTATACTACTCTCTCTTTATTTCTTTGTCTATAAAATATAAATTCAACCCTGCTTTTGTGGTGACTTCCATGTCATTGTTGCTCGATCCTCCTCTGTGGGATCTGACCAAAGTTTGAGATTCAGGAAAAGAGAAAGGAGAATGTGTAGTTGCTCTTCAGCCAGGAGGGAATGGAGCAGGGCAGATGAGGGATGCAGAAGAAGACATGTTTGTGATGACATCATCCTGCAAGCGATGCAAGTCAGATGTCAGAAGTCATGACATCTGCTATGGTTCCTACCATCATGGCCCACCTGTGGTCATTTTTGACAGCGCTGTGGCTTGTGATGGTGAAGACAGAGGTCAAAGATGGAGGGTCGGACTAGAAGACCTCCAAGGTCCCTTCCAACGTTGGGATTCTGTCTTCCGTAAAGGTGGTGGATGGGGAATCAAATTAAGCTTTTGAACAGCTATGAGGCTCAGAGCTAGAGAGGGGGGGCAGACAGAGAGCACAGCATTTGTCCCTGTTGAACTTCTGCCTGTTCTGCGAACACAACTTCAAAAGAGTTGTAGAATCGGATAAAATGCCTGCATTCTGTTTTGAAAGGTTCAATCGAGGACAGCAGAACAGAGAAATAACCCTTTCAAAAGTGTTAAAAAGCCTCCCAGATATGTGCTCCTGGCTCCTAGAGCTAAAAGTCACTTTGTTGACTTTGCTGGTATAAAAAATACCTGACAGAGGTTTGATTAATTATCGAGTTCTCTCCCTTGGACTCGTCTTGCCAGTTGTATATTGAGGTAGGTGAGGGGCTCAGGTTTCTCAGATGCAGGTTAAATACGTTCAATGGGTCGGCAGGAGGCGAAGGGAAAGGGTGTCCTGTGTCAAAATTCCCCCTTTTTTTCCTTGGCTCTTTCTTGTAAAACAAAAGAGACATTTGAGGCTTCCAACTCAGAACAATTTGCCCTGAAAAACATTCACCCTTTCCCTGAATCCAGTCAATGAATCACCTTTTTATATCTCTTTGAAACTCCTAATGAATATGCTAGGATGGGGTGGGGGGTCTCCCAGGTGTAATGTTCCTAAAGCCAGTTTAGTGTAGTGGGTGACTGTGAGTTGTAGTTCTGCCTTAGGAAACAAAGCCATCTTGGTGACTTGGGGCCAGTCGCGTTCTCCTAGCCCTGTGAAGGAGGCAATGGCAAACCACTTCTGAAATCTTGCAAGGAAAACTGCAGTTTTCCAAGTAGTCTCCAATAACTCAAAGGCACAATCCTCAGAGTATTCATAGAAAATAGAATAAATCAGAGTTGGAAGGGACCTCAGAGGTCTTCTAGTCCAACCCCCTGCTCGAGCAGGAGACCCTTGTATCATTTCAGACAAATGGTTGCCAAGTCCAGTCTCTTCTTAAAAGCCTCCAGTGTTGGAGCATTCACAACTTCTGATGGCAAGCTGTTCCACTGGTTAATTGTTCTCACTGTTGGGAAGTTTCTCCTGAATTCCAGGTTGTTTCTCTCCTTGATTAGTTTCCACCCATTGCTTCTTGTTCTACCCTCAGGTGCTTTGAAGAATAGTTTGACTCCCTCTTCTTTGTGGCAACCCCTGAGATATTGGAAGACTGCTATCATGTCCCCCCTAGTCCTTCTTTTCATTAAACTAGACATACCCAGTTCCTGCAACCGTTCTTCATACGTTTTAGCCTCCAGCCCCCTAATCTTCTTTGTTGCTCTCCTCTGCACTTTTTTTAGAGTCTCATCATCTTTTTTAGCATTGTGGTGGCCAGAACAATTCTATCCCAATAGAATGTCTTCCATGTTCATAACTGATTTGGAGGCGTTCGCAAACCGCTGGGCTTTATTTCCTTGAGATCCGAGACGATTTAAATAAGAGCAATAGTAGACAAAGAGGACAGCATTAGCATGGCACAATTTTAACAAAAGTACCTGTAGCTGTAATTCTAAACGCTCTTATTACAAAGGAAAAGGGATTAGAAATTCAGTCCAACCTTTGAATAAAGTTCCTGGTTTTTGTTACCCTTGTAGTGAAGGCTTTTGTTAGAAATGGAGCGACTTGAATTGATAGAAGCGGAAAGTGGCATTTTGACTCTTCAGAGGGCTCCTATCAGACTAAATATTTGCCTATCGTTTCTTTCCCGTGTGCTTTCATCTAATAAATAAATGCCATATATGGAATTATTGTAAAAGGAAAGAGAAGGCAGAGAAAAACAGACCCGTTTTCTGTCTGGCCCTCCAAGAAAGAAAGGATTAGTCTGCTGAATAAACTTTCCCTGAAGCGCCGATGATGTCTTAATCCAAATTTGTACAACTGGCTGCTTTGTTTTATGTATTTATTTATTACTGGAGGCAACAGAAGCTTTTCAATTCACAATCCATCGGGTGAGGGGGGGGTCAGGTTACCACCGGAGTGAGTTTTAAAAATAGGAAGGGTTATTAATTGAATTGAATTAATTAAAATTCAATTCAATTCAACGAATAGGGCTCTTCTGAGGATTTTATTTTTTTTTTACCTCAGCCACTGATGTCTTTCCATGTGTCTCTCATCACAACCTCCCAATTTCTCAGGAAAACATTTAGGAGGACATAATAGTCCTTTAATCTTCAAAAACAGTGTGAAGTAAAGACTCAAGAGGGTTTAAAAAAAAAATAAGGCCAAGATGAGGATCATGGCCTACAGATGAAGCTCTGCCCCCCTTTTTGTGAGTGTTGTACGATGTCTGTGAAGGAAGGGCAAGGCTTCCATGGGGGGGGCATCTTGATAATGTTGGCTTCAGCCCCTCAGATGCTCCTGGAAATGCCACAGGCACAAAAGGAGATTGAAACGCCTAAATTTAGAAGCGTCTCTCCACTTTTCAAAGGGAGCCTGGGGAACTACTCTATGGCGAGTGGTTGGAAAACCGCTTCCAGTCTTGATTTCTTGATCCAAGACTTTTTCCAATAGGATGTTAAGGAAGTGTGTCTGTTTTGTTCAGGGGTTTATTTGCAGGCATTCTGATGAGGAACGCTTCAGAATTAAGGAAGAAGTTCAGGGAAAGCTTTCCCCGAGCCTTGATTACAATCCTATTTCACATGTGTGACATGTTTATTTGTTCATGAGGTTTATATTCTGTTTTTTTACCTTTGGGAGCTCCTAAAATTTGTGGTGACAGATTGAGAAAGAGAGAGAGAGAGAGGGAGGGAGGGAGGGAGGGAGAAGATAGACAAATAGATGATAGATTAGATAGATAGATAGATAGATAGATAGATAGATAGATAGATAGATGGATGGATGGATGGATGGATGGATGGATGGATGGATGGATGGATGGATAGACAGACAGACAGACAGATTGATAGACAGATAGGATGATGAGAGAAATAGGATGATAGACAGACAGACAGACGATAGAGAGCGAGAGAAAGATAGGATGATAGATAGATAGATAGATAGATAGATAGATAGATAGATAGACAGATTGATAGACAGATAGGATGATGAGAGAGATAGGATGATAGACAGACAGACAGACAGATGATAGAGAGCGAGAGAAAGATAGGATGATAGATAGATAGATAGATAGATAGATAGATAGATAGATAGATAGATAGATAGATAGACAGACAGATTGATAGACAGATAGGATGATGAGAGAGATAGGATGATAGACAGACAGACAGACAGATGATAGAGAGCGAGAGAAAGATAGGATGATAGATAGATAGATAGATAGATAGATAGATAGATAGATAGACAGACAGACAGATTGATAGACAGATAGGATGATGAGAGAGATAGGATGATAGACAGACAGACAGACAAATGATAGAGAGCGAGAGAAAGATAGGATGATAGATAGATAGATAGATAGATAGATAGATAGATAGATGGATAGATAGATGGATAGATAGATAGATAGATAGATAGATAGATAGATAGATAGATATAGATAGATAGACAGAGAGAGAGAGGGTGGGATGGAGAGAGAGAGAAACAGATTGATAGACATAGATAGGATGATGAGATAGATAGACAGACAGACAGACAGACAGAGATGATAGAGAGAAAGATGGATGGATGGATGGATAGATAATAGAGATAAATAAAAAGTTAGATTTGAGAGATGTTAAATAGATGATAGATAATTATACATAGATATTAGAGAGAGAGAGAGAGAATGATAGGGAGAGAAACATTACTGAGGTAGAGTGCTAATAAAATGATAATAAAACTCTGAACTCTGAGGATACCATCCCTCCTAACGCTTAGAAGAAACTTGATTGTAGAACTTCAGAATGCAGAGAGTCCTGTCCGCGTTGCCTTCCCAGGCAAGATCCAGCAGAGATTTCTGCTCTAAAGAGAAAGGATCCAGGCCTTGTGCTGCCCTCTGCTGAATCACCACCCTGGGATTTCATCTGAACTTAGATACGTATCGAGAAGGAAGGAATGTAATCACGCTTTTGTTTGACACTTTTATAATCTGTGACTTTATTAGAAACTCCCCTCCTGCTGCGGCCGATGTGGCTCCCAAGGAAATCGGCTCAAGACTGCAGATTCAGATGATTAACACTCAGTACCAGGAGGTGCTATATTTTGACTTAATAAAAAGGCCATCGTGAAAATTGCTCCTTAGGTTGAAATGTTGCACATGCATGTTTAATATATATAACCCACCGAATTACAAGGTGTGAATTAGAAAAAAAAAACACACACAATCTCCGCCATTCTATTATTTAACCGGAGGGAAAATGTTTGTTTTTAATTAGAAAAAAAAAATCCAGAAATATAGAACACTGTAAGTAAAGGACGTATATACTCTACGCCTTGGTACACAAACTTTTTAGCAAATTATTATTACAGTTCTCCTTTTAGGCCTTCTTAGCTCTTTACAGAACAGGACAAAATTCATAGAAATCTGCATAAAAGATAAAACTTGCCAACTTTCACCATAGCCAGCCCAAGAGTTTTCAAACAACAGCTTAAAATTTTTAGAATTACACACACACACCCAAATAAATCTCGGCTTTTTTCTCGTACTCTTGAGAAAAACTTGGTTTTCTTTTTCCTTCAAGTTGATTCTCCCTCAAAACTTATACATTTAATTCTCCAGCATTTCGTAAGTCAGTAGAAACTAGCTCATTATTCCTCAGATGCATTAAATACATTCCAGAAGTAGCAGAAATGAAAAGATTCTCGCCTGCCTCTTTTCTCCGTGCAGATGTTGGTAACACTAAGTTTACTATTCGAGTTTACTACTATTACTACTATTTCTGACCGCTAGGTGGCACTGTAGGAGTTCACAATAAACGTGTAGAAAGCTCAGATCCCTTAAGTAGATCTATCTATTGGATTGGTGGATGGATGGATGGATAGATGGATAGATGGACAGCTCATGAGCTATAAAAAATATCAACGCAGAGATACCTTAAATATCCCCCAAATTACACGAGGTAAACGATGGTCCAAAGAAATTATCTCAGACACAATTATCTGGTTCGCAGTGTGTTTCTTCGCTCAGATCTGGACAGGGGGTCCCATGATTGGCTGGCTGAAGTAGTATGTACCGAGTCCGTCTTTTCGTTCCTAAATTTCCACAGGTGCCACGGCAAAGGCCCCACGAAGACCACAGAGAGGTCTCACAATCCAAAGGTGTTTCTGCAGGAGAGAAGCGGTTTCGAGTTGTTTTACACGACTACAAGATAGAGCTTTGTTTTGGACAGTCAACTGATTTAATTTTCTCCAAGACAAACCGGTGGGATAAATGTGTGGCGTTGCAGAACAAAACCCTGTAAAAGCTTCTGAAAGAAGAGGGAGCAAAGTCAGTAGGATCAATCACTTTCGTAAGCCACTAGTGTGGCCCGTTTGCAGTAGCTGCTAGTAGCTGATACAGACAGCGAGGAGGCTGGTGTGGTGCTGTGCCAGCAGCCTGTGCAGCTGGTGCTTGAGTCGGACAGTGAGGAGGCTGGAGAAGATGTGGTGCCAGAGGCAGGGATTCATCCAGGGCCTTCAGAACCTCCAGAAGCTCCCATAAGTGAAGAGGAAGAAGAGGAGGAGCCTCTTCTCGATTCACGAGCACGCAGAGCTGCCAAAAGGCAGGAGTGGCTCCTCAGGAGGAGGTCTCCTCGAGAGTAAGGCTTGGGGCTAATTGGCCACTCCCTTAGCCTATTTAAGGAGGAACGCCCGACTGAAGCAATTTGCAGGGAACAACTTCGTTCACATACCTTCATGTCTTGTCTTGCTTATCTTATCAGCTTCCTGCAAATTGCTTCTGGGCATTCTGCCAACCATAGTAAGTTTTCAGTTATTATTCTTTGAATTCTTGGCAGCTGTTAATGCAATTAATTAACAGCCGTTGTTGTAAAAGACTGGTTTATTCAGTAAACTAAGGTTTGAACGGACTTTGTGTATGTTGCGTTCTTTGGGGTCCGTAGCTGAGGCAGAACAGCCACTCAGCAGTGGGATGGGTGGCGTATAAATTCAATAAATATATAAAATTTAATAAATAAGTAACTTTGGCCAGGTGTGCATAACCAGATGAGGGGATGCGTGAAAAGGAGGTGTGTGCCAGACAGGCCAAATCAGATCCAATTTTTTTTTTTAATTTGATTTATATGCCACCCTTCTCCGGAGACTCAGGGCGGCTTACAATGCACTAAGCAATAACCTTCATACTTTTGTATATTTATACAAAGTCAGCTTATTTGTGGATCCCAGTTGTGGATCCCATTCATGAAAGAAATCTAATAAGGGAAAGAGATCCCCACTTTTTTCTTTCTTCGAGAAAGCAAATTCTGTTGAGGAAACTTCATGTGGTTATAACCCAAAACTCTGAAATCTTATTCACCGTGTTTGCTGATAAGTGATAAAAGACATGTGGTTTGGATCGCTGGAAAACACTGGGGGTTTTTAAGAAGAAACTGGGGGGGGGGGGGCATTTAACCAGAATAATATGGGGTTTCCTGCTTGATCCTGGGGTTGGAGTCAGACTAGAAGACCTCCAAGGTCCCTTCCACCCTTTCAGTCTCTGTTCTGTGTCTTCAAGACAATCCATTTAAACAGCTGGAAACCCATCATTCCTAATAAAATTGTATTGAGATAGCTAAATTCTACAAAACCTTTGGTGTGAAATTTTACATCCAGCTTTCCCATCAATTGAGAAAGCTCACCACAGAAGCTATCAAGAATTGATCCAGACATTGGGGGATATAAAATCAGGGAATCACAGGACTGGAAGGGACCTTGGAGGTCTTCTAGTCCAACCCCCCTGCTTAAACATAGACCCTACACCAGGGGTCTCCCACCTTGGCAACTTTAAGCCTGGAGGACTTCAACTCCCAGAATTCCCCAGCTGGCTGGGGAATTCTAGGAGTTGAAGTCCTCCAGGCTTAAAGTTGCCAAGGTGGGAGACCCCTGCCCTACACCATTCCAGACAAATGCTGCCCAGTATCTTCTTAAAAAAACCCAGTGATGGAGCATCCACAACTTCTGCCAATCTAAGGACTGGCAAAACAGAGGAACTATCAAAAGATTTTACCAATTTCTCAAGTATTTCTCCCCTTAACTTTGAGTTCTTCACTCCCTAATTTCATCCTGTATTCCCTAAAGAGAAGCTTTGAGGATCTTGATCGGTAAAATACGTTCCGTTTGCCCTTCAAGGTGGGCATGTCTTCCACGGCTGAATAATTAAAACAAAATGTTCTCTTTATCCAGGAATGAAACCCTTACCCGAGACTGAATCCTCCACTTCGTTATGGGTGGTTGTGACGTTTGGTTGAGAGATGAGAAAGCCCAATTTCTTTCTTTTGAGTTTTGCCATGGTCACCCGGGCAATCGGCGGCAGAGTCTTAAGCTTGGGGTAATAAAATGAGTTGGCAGGATGACTTGGGGAGGAACAGGTGATCTGTGAAATCAAGCAGGTGGGAAAAGGAGGTGAGTTCAGCAGAACCTGTCAGAACCTGCTGGATTTCACCCCTGGTTCGGGAGAACCTCTAGCTAAGATTCTGTGCAGTTCAGAGAACCCCCAAATCCCACTCCTGGCTAACCCACCCTAACCCCACCCCTCCCCTCCCAGGAGTCCCCACACAGCCCATTTTGGAGACAGGTAATTGCAGGGCATGCACGGAGACTCGGAGAGGGTGAAAAATGGGCTTACCAGAAGTTCAGAAAGCCTCCAGAGGGCCTTCGGAGCCTGGGGAGACTATTTTCACCCTCCCGGAGGTTCGAGAAAAGCCTCTGGAGCCCAGGGAGGGCAAAAACACCCCCCCCCCCATGGTGCAGGAGGCCGACTAGGCCACACCCACCCAGCAACTGCTAAACCCCTTATTAAAATTTTTCAAGCCCACCCCTGGCTGGAATGGACCTTGGAGGTCTTCTAGTCCAGCTCCAAAGCAGGAGATCTGATTCCATCATGGACAAATGACTGTCCCAATCTTTTCTTGAAGATCTCCAGGTGACAGTTGAGCTGATGACATGCAATGGATCAGCCCAAAAGTTGATAAAGTAAAGAAACTTACTTCCGTGATCGTATCGCGAGGGATCGTGGCGAAGTTGGGTGCGGAAAACGTAAAGCCGCTATCCGTTCCAGCATCATATGGAAATAAATCTATGGAGACGTGGCGCTTCCAGCCATTTTTGTCGCACAAATTAAAATTCTCAATCCCCACAAACCAGTCAGGGCTGGGCACGATTCGTACTGCAAGGGATACCTGGATATTTAGGGAAAATATCCTTTGCTTCAATAAACTGAATGGAGTGAGCACAATTCTCTCTAATTAAGATCATTTTAATAAACCATGTGCTAGAATGAGGACAATCAAGACGTTAATTATTTTCAAGTTATTTCAAGTTATTTTCAAATCAATAAAATAAATATTACTTCCCCGAGAAGTTCAAAGCAAGTTGGCAATAAAAACAGAGAGATGCTCAGCAGGGTGTGATAGATTAAACTTCCCAGACTATAAGTAATATAAAGTGAAGCATTATTTTAATAAAGTTGAATTCATTGCCGCACGAATCTGAGAGCTGCGGTCTTAGTAATGAGTTATATTTCACTGACGACCTTCTCAATGAATTAAAAGGTTTCCCCAAATAATCCGGCCATTTTATGGTAATAAAACACGTGGGAGATAGGCACGGTCTTTAATCTTCAACTACAGGAGAAAATGCCAAGACGAGATATATCCGTGCTTTGAATCCTCTGCTGATTTAATTGCTTGCAAATTTATGCAACCGTAATTAAAGAATAATAACTGCCCATCTTAAGTATAATGGACAAATAATTCTTTAGTTCGTTTGCAGCTTTACTGCTCCTTAAAAAGCAAAGGCCAGGAGATACTTCCAACTTACTAAGGGATGACCCGGGTCAACTTCAAAGAGAGTTGAGGTCTGTCCTGTTCCGGTAACCACAGGAGAAGCGGAGAAGATTCCATAAACGCTTTGCATTTTCTCTCCAGCTGCTTCAATTTCCTTCATCAGCATCCAGGGCTCCCCCTTCTCCACCAACTCACGCATGCCGTTGCTGGCATAGCCGCTGGCCTTCCACATGACGTAGTCCGAGTTGTGGGCCACACCTGTCGAAGAGGAGACACACAAAAGGCAGATTTGGAATTGCTTCCTTCATAAAGTTGTGCTGGCTCTGTCTTCTCTTCCTGGAAGGGAGGACCTTAGTGACTCGAACCGTGGGGTTGACTTCTGCTGCAGAAAAGGAGAACCAGATGTAAATGCCCTCCAGGTTTGTGCATTTGGTGCTGTCCCTCAGAGATGTGAATTTGGATGTAGCTGAAGAACCAGCAGGAGAAGGAGGAGGAGGTAAGGATGTCCCCCAGGAGGGGCCAAAAAGTCAAGATGGCAGCCTCAACTACCATTCAGAAAGATTGGAGTTTTGATACAGCGGTCATGCCTGCCATATTGATTTTTGTTACTGCCCTGTGGCAGGACACCCTTGGGAGAAGAAATTCAAAGTGGTGAATGCAGCCCAGAAATAGCATGTTGGGATTGCGCTGGGTCCCACAGCAGTGATGAACGTGAGCTGAACATGGAAAAGCGAGCACATCAAATGCAAGTTAGTCTGCTCTATCTTGTTCCCTGTAGCTACCTTTGGTTGTGAAAGCTGGACCTTAAAAAAGCAACTCAGGAAGAAAATTGACTCGTTTGAGCTGTGGTGCTGGAGAAGCCTTCTTCGTGTTCCACGACAGCAAAAGTGGCCAACAAGCAAGTACTGAAACACATGACAACAGATGTGTCACTGGAGGAAAAATCACAAATGGTGTCTCACTTACTTTGGCCGTGTTGTGTGAGGGAATTCATTGGAGAAAGCAATTATGCTTGGAAGAGGTAGCGGTAAAAGGAAACCAGGCCTCCAAAGAACATGGTGGCTGAACACCATCAAAGATGACCCCAGGCAGAGCATAGGACAACTCAAAGCATTGGGCAAGATTGGAAGATGTGGAGAGACCTGGCCCACAGAATCACAAGAGTTGGACTCAACTGAATGAATAACATCATCGTCATCATCATCATGATTTTATGTCTGTCTCTCTGTCTATCTATCTATCATCTATCTATCTCTATCATCTCTATCTCTATCATCTACCATCTATATCTATATCATCTATATCTATATTTATTCATCTATCTATCCATCCATCCATCCATCCATCCATCCATCCATCCATCCATCCATATATCATATCTATCATCCATCCGTCTGGCTGGCTGTCTATCTATCTATCCATCCATCTCTATATATCACTATCATTTATCATCTATATCTATTCATCTATCATCCAACCATCCATCCATCCATCCATCCATCCATTTATCTATCTTCTCTATCTTATGTCTCTACTTATCTACCTACCTACCTCTGATTTCTATCTATCTGATTTCTTTTTTCTACCTACCTACCTATCTATCTATCCATCTCTATCATCTCTGTATATCACTATCATCTATCATCTATATCTATCCATCTATCATCTATCTATCTATCTATCTATTTATCTATCTATCTATCTATCTATCTATCTATCTATCTATCTATCATCTGTAAAAGGAAACCAGGCCATCAAAGAAGACGGTGGCTGAGCACCATCAAAGCTGACCCCAGCCAGAGCATAGAACAACTCAAAGAAGCAGTGCAAGATGAGAAGATGTGGAGAAACCTGGTCCATAGGATCACCGAGAATCGGACAAGACTGAATGGATATCATCCTCATCCTCATCCCCTTGTGGACACTCTTCTTGGGAGAAGACAGGTGGTTTTTCTTACCTAGGAGGGAGGACCACTGCGCTGGGGGTCTGTAGAGCGGGTACTGCTTTGGAAAAGCTGTTTGGCTCCATTTCCCCGTGAAGACAATGCTGTAGGTGGTTGGTTCCTCTGCACCACACAGGGTCTCTCCCTCGAGGGGAACACAATCCACGCAACTCAAGAGTGCAACCAGCAGTGCTGCGATTGTCTTGTCAGAACCAGACACAGGTAGTGAGTTTCCCATTTCCTGGCCAACGGGGGTTAAAACAAACACACAAATGAAAAAGAACCACAATTAGTGGATTCCACAAGAGATGCGGCATCTCTACCTGTACTCCATGAAATCAACAGAGATCACTTGAGACCCAGAATACTTTAAAAAAAAAAAAATCCAAGCAAAAGGGGAAAGGTTACTTTCATTATTTAAGAGAGTTAAATAATAACAGAGTTGGAAGGGACCTTGGAGGTCTTCTAGTCCAGCCCAGGCAGGAAACCCTCCATCACTTCAGACAAGTGGTTGCCCAGTCTCTTCTTAAGAGCCTCCAGTGTTGGGGCATTTACAATTTCTGGAGGAAAATTGTTCTACTTATTAATTGTCGTTCTCACTCTTAGGAAACTTCTCCTTAGTTCTGCTTCTGTCCTTGATTATAATAATAATAATTGATAATAGGCTGGTTTGATTTTCTTATCTTATTAGAATCATAAATGTGGTTTAATTCTGGTCACCACTCTTTCAGTACAAATATGTAGGATGTATATATACTGTAGCTGCCTCCTTTTTTACTTTTCTGTCCAAGACATATTTATTTAAAGATAATATAAAGAAACACCGAACGCTCACTTAATCCATTCCAACTTGAATTCATCACCTAATGGCAGGGAAATGTTTTAGAAAAACACCCAGAACTGAATAAAGGCAAAGAAACCTGCACTGCTAAGATAAAACACTAAAGTTTAACCTTCCTTTAAAAAAAGCTTTTCTGCTTTAAGAGCAGGGCATAAATACACAAGGGCTCAGCTGCAACCGCTGTACATTAATCATTAATACAGACCATTTTCACTTACGGGTGTTCCGGTGGCTGTGAGGTTGTTAGGAGAAGAACTTGCTTTGTCTCCCAGCTGGAAAATCTGCAAGGGGAAGAGAGGAAATCTTGCTATTTATGCCTGCAAAAGTCCCTTTAGTCCAAGCGGGGCAGTGGTTGGTTTTTTTCCCCTCGATTCCCTGAACACATCTTGTGCTGCTGGAAACATCTGTATGCTTTGTGGCTGTGAATGGTGTGCCAGCTGTGGAAAAAAAAAACCTGCAGGAATGAACTACATTTCAACTTTTGCTAGCCTACAAGTTTGCCCCCTCCGCCTTCAAAGGTTTTTTGATGGATGGCATTTCTCCATGCTGGCCCCGGTGCCCATAAGTTGCAGAAAAAAAGCTGCTTCAGGCACAAAACCTTTCTTGTACGCATATTGTCCTGTTAAGTTTTATGCCTTTCCCAAAAGCTGATAAAAATCCCTCCCTCGGATGGATCTGAGAGCTTATCTCTGAGTTAGGAAAGGGAAACCTCCAGAGAAATTGGGGGCTGTTATGGAAAAAGGCTGCAATATACATGTCATTTCACTCCTGAGTTGTATCTGGGGGAAGGGTGGGAAACATGGAGCAAACTCTGTGTGTGTGTCTCTGTGTGTGTGTGTAGAACTCTGAGGCTTTGTTGTTATTTTTGATGCTAGTTAAACTCAGTTTGACTTACAGAATTCAGAATAACAGAGTTGGAATAGATAAATGATAGATAGATAGATAGATAGATAGATAGATAGATAGATAGATAGATAGATAGATGATGGATGGACTGACAGAGATGATAGATGATAGATGATAGATAGACAGACGATAGATAGATAGATAGATAGATAGATAGATAGATAGATAGATAGATAGATAGATAATTAGAAATAGATAGATAGATAGATAGATAATGTATAGATATAGATAATGTATAGATAGATAAATAGATAGATAATGTATAGATAGATGATAGATAGATAGATAGATAGATAATAGAGATAGATAGATAGATAGATAGATAGATAGATAGATAGATAGATAATGTAGATATATAGATAATGTATAGATAGATAAATAGATAGATAATGTAGAGATAGATGATAGATAGATAGATAGATAGATAGATAGATAGATAGATAGATAATGTAGAGATAGATAGATAGATCGATAGATAGATAGATAATGTAGAGATAGATAGATAGATAGATAGATAGATAGAGATAGATAGATCGAGATAGATAGATAGATAATGTAGAGATATAGATAATGTAGAGATAGATAGATAGATAGATAGATAGATAGATAGATAGATAGACGGACAGAGTTGATAGACAGACAGACAGAAAGATAGACATAGATAGGATGATGGATGGATGGATGGATGGATGGATGGATGGATGGATAGATGGATGACAGAGACAGAAAGACAATCACATATAGACATGAGATCTTTGATCCCACCATTAGGGCCAACTTGACTTTTTGGGGGGGGCACCCCTGACTTCTGCTTTGCAAAACAACAACAAGAACAAGAAGAGAACTCCCCGTCTCCTGGTGATTGGCCAAAAGTCACCTCTGGCTGGCTTTCGTGCTTAAGGCAGGACTAGAACTCCCAGCCTCCTGGTTTCTAACCTAGTGCCTTTAAGTAGACCAAACTGGCTCTCCTATCAGCTTAATGCTGCCCAAACCAGACCTACCGCCCAGTGGTGGGATTCAAGTAATTTAACAACCGGTTCTCTGCCCTGATGATTTCTTCCAACAACCAGTTTGCCAAACTGCTCAGAAAGTTAACAAGCGGTTCTCCCAAAGTGGTGCGAACCGGCTGAATCCCACCACTGCTACCGCCCCTCTCCATCGTGTTTTGTAAAATAAACCAGAATTCTTGTTGCACAACTCCTGTGCCGTGGGCTCCATGGGACTCAGGAGGAGTGCGCATGAGTTTGTATATTTATCTTTTGCTCCTAACACTCTTCACGTTAACATTCTTTTTTTGTCACGTAAATCAGTTTAAGCAGAATTTAACATGTTCCAGAAGTAGAAACTCTCCTTTGAAAAGCTCCTTCCAGGCTGCAGCATGGTTTGGCTTCAATTAAGCAAGGAGGAGGATTGTCTAAACAACAAGGCAGAGGAATCTGCTGTGGGAATAAACAGTGAGACTAAGCGCCACTCGTTTCTGAATGAGTAGCAAGCCTCAAGAGATGCCAGCTAGCTTGACCTCCTTGTCTTTGGATCAACCCAGCCAGATCCACCAAAAGCATGTTCACTTATCATTGTCCTGAATATAGAATGGATTATTATTATTATTATTATTATTATTATTATTACTACTACTACTACTACTACTACCACTATTATTATACATTATTCATTAAACATGAAACTCAGTCAACTGAATATTGAAAACTGCAATACCATTGATTGGTATTTGTGATGCATTTTTGAATGTTGTTGTTGTTGTTGTTGTTATTATTATTATTTCAATTTATAGGCTGCTAGTATCACCTCCAAGCTCGCTCAGGCCAGCTCACAAAACCATAAAAACAATAATATACAATATGAACATGTTAAAACATTCAAACAAGAGCATTAAAATTAACAAAAATTGGATAAAACAGGAATCAATACATAAACTCGGTGAAGATGGGAACCTCTTGTCAGTCTACTAAGCATCTTCAGAATGCCTTGCCCCCATCGGGACGGACTCCAGGCCAACTAAGAGAGGCAGGTTTTCAGGCCTTTCCGGAAGACCAAGAGGATGGAGGCAGATCTCAGCTTCAGGGACACAAGGTACCAGAGGGTGAGGAGGGCCATAGCAGGAAGGGAGCCCACTGGACCATTTCCACTTCCACTGGACCCCACCAGCTGAAGTTCCTTATCCAGCAGAAAAAAAATATCTTTATGGAGTGTTCAGAAAATGAATAGCAGAATTCAGCTCAGCAGAACTAAGACTCTAGAAAGAGTGCAGAGAAGAGCAACCAGGATGATGAGGGGACTGGAGGCTAAAACATACGATGAACGGTTGCAGGAACTGGGCCTGGCTGGTCTACTGAAGAGAAGGACCAGGGGAGACAGGAGACCCTCTTCCAATATTTGAGGGGCTTTTGCAGAGAGGAGGAAGGGGGTCAAGCTATTTTCCAAGGCACCAGAAGGCCAGACAAGGAAGAATGGATGGAAACTGACCAAGGAGAGATTCAACCTGGAAATAAGGAGGAATTTTCTAGCAGTGAGAACAATCAACCAATGGAACAGAAGTTGCCTTCGGAAGTTGTGGGAGCTTCATCACTGGAAGATTTCAAGAAGGGGCTGGACTGCCATTTGTCAGAAATGGTGTAGGGTCTCCTGGTTGGGCAGAGGGGGGTTGGACTAGATGACCTCCAAGGTCCCTTCCAACTCTGTTATTCTGTTGATGTTAAAAGCCCCAAACAATTTATATTAAGGCAGCCATTTCCAGCATATAACACAAAGGGTTTAGTGTTGGTTACAAATGTTCTAAATTTCATCTCTCTGTGCCAGATATTTAACTTATGAGGTGGAATATTTTCTTGGTAGAAAACAAACAAGAAGTGAGTATGTCTTTCTGTAGCTACATCACAATGATGAGTCATTATGGCCTCTGCCAGCATTTTCCAGCTGAAAAGCCCCAGAAAATCGCAAATATGTTTGTGATTAAACATAAAGATTGATTACAGTTTGTGCATTCTGGGTTTCGCTCCATTCTTTTCTTTCCATTTCATGAGGTTATCTATCTTGGCTTCCATCGTCTTCGCAATCTTTCACCTACATTTGCTTTCTGCCAAGAATAGCAAAAGTTGGTTATTCCAGATATTCTGAAGGAGGAGGAGCAAAAGGCAACCCTTGAAGAGGAGTATTCATTGGGGGAGGAAGGAATGTCCCAAAAGTGAAAATGAAGGCCACATAACCAAAAGACCACTCATTGTTTTCAGGTGTCTTGCATGCCCACAGTTGCAGTTACCACCTCACCTTCTCTGAGGAACATCAATTTTCTCCCCTTCCTTCTTTTCAACACCAATATCAGAACAACAGAGTTGGAAGCGACCTTGGAGGTCTTCCAATCTCAAGTGGAAGACCCTATAATATCATTGGGGTCTACCAACCATTGGACAAATGGTTGTCCAATCATTTCTTAAAAACCTCCAGTGATGGAGCATCCAGAACTTCTGAAGACAAGCCATTCCACTGATTTCATTGTACTGTCAGGAAATTTCTCCTTAATTCAAGCTTGGACCTCTCCTTGATAAGCTTCCACCTGTTACCTCTTGTCTTACCCTCAAGTGGTTTGGAGAATAGGTCAAGCCTCTCTTCCTGGTGACAGCTCTTCAAGTATTGGAAGATGGTTACCGTGGCACCCTCTAATCCTGCTCTTTCTTAGACTAGTTATGAGCACCTACTAGTTATTGGCACTCCATAGAGATTAAGAGTTTGCCAAGGTAAATTGGCTCTCTGAATGTGTATATCAAGGATCTATGCAGGATTATAATCTCCAGATGCAAGGAGACTCAGGAGCTATAATGATCCATTCTTAAGGAATTCCGAACTTGGAAGCCTTCAGGATTAGGGAAGCCAAACTTGGTGGCAAAAATCCAAAAGGCTTAGATAGGACAGCAAAGAGTCACAAAAACAATCATTATTTGCAACTTCTAGAGATTGTGGCCCAGTTATGTACCTGTTGCTTGGTATCCTCCATCAGGAAGGCTGAGCTACCAATATTGGAGACAAGTTGGACAGCTACCAACTTTTGGGACAATGACTCTTCCCAGGTCTCCTTAAATTCTTGGCTCTTAGATGTTTCATGAAGGCAACCCATTGTACAAGACCTTTGGATGCAAAGCAGGAACAATAATGCATTTTTTAGCATTAAGCATTAATTCATTTAGCATTAAGTTTCAGCATTAAGTTTTCTTTGTACATACATTTTTAGTTATGTTGCGATACGACAGAAAAAAGGAGCAAATTTCTTTTGCTTCTCCGTTGCATACATCTGACTAAGAGGCTTGTTGTTGTTAGCTGCGAAGATGTGCATGACCCATGCACAATGTTCCTCCAGGCCTTCCTGTCTTCTACCATCCTCTGGAAACCATTTAAGCTCACGCCGACTGCTTCAGTGACTCCATCCAGCCACCTCGTTCTCTGCCGTCCCCTTCTTCTTTTGCCCTCAATCTTTCCCAGCATTAGATTCTTCTCCAGGGAGTCCTTCCTTCCTTCTCATTAGGTGGCCAAAGAATTTGAGTTTCATCTTCCGGATCTGACCTTCTAAAGAGCAGTCAGGGTTGACCTCCTCTAGGACTGACCGGTTTGATCGCCTTGCAGTCCAAGGGATTCCCAGGAGTCTTCTCCAGTTCCATAGTTCAAAGGCCTCAATTCTTTGATGCTC